GCACTGACTCCCCCAGCTCCGCCAACGCCGTTTATCAGCGCTCCGGGGGCGGTGCCGGCGGGAGGAGCCCGGCGATCATTGGGTGTCCGCAGCCAGCCGATCCGCCCTCGTTAACGAAAGCCAATGAGAGCTCTCTGCAAGCTCCTCCCCCCAGCACGCGCTGTAAGGCTTAGCCAATCAGAAATGCGGTCACCCTTAAGAGGCGTCATGCCTCGCGTCAGAACCAATCAAAAGAGGGAAGAGATGCGCAAGCCGTGCCCTCTCTCCCTCCCCGTAGCGGCTGCGGAACCAATCGCAACAGGGGACAGCCGCGTACAGCCCACACTACTGGAAGGGAACCAATCGCAAGCCTCCTCTTACGCCCCGCCCCTTCCCCGCGAAGACAAATCAGAAACGCCTGGCAGTGTTTGTGTTCCGCGCCGGCGGATCACGTGGGTGGGCCCGGTTTCTCTTTCACCTTGGGAGGGAGGAGGAGGAGGAGGAGGAGGAAGGCGGGCAGCGGCCGCCGCACCGGGACGGGTCCCCCCTCCGCTCCCCCCCCCCCCCCCCCCCCCCCCCCCCCCCCCCCGCCTCACCCTCGGGGCACGGCGGCAGCGGGAAGCGCAAGGCCCAGCCGTCCCAGGACTTTGCAACCCGTCCTTCCCCCCCGCCCCCACCACGAGACGAAAGAGAAAGGTAGAAAGAAGCAGAAAGCTTAAGAATAATCAAGATTAGAGTGCAGGTTTCCAGCACTAAGCTCTCGGGTCCCCCAATCCACACCCCCTCCCGAAAGCAGGCGAGGATTTTATCAGCTTTTAGGGTTTGGGGTTCTCCCCCCACTTTTACCTGAGCTCTGCTCTAAGCAAAGCAAACACCGCAGTTGTTGTTCGCTTTTAAACTAGAAAAACCTGTTGTGGAAAATTCTACTGCAAGTTTTACTGCTGAGTGAGCTTCTAATTTTGTGTGCCCCTCAGACATCTGAAATTCAAGATACCACAACCCCTCCCAGGCTGAATTAAGAGTTTAAAAAAAATATATAGCTGGAAAAAGGAGAACAGAAATCAAAATGTTGAAGTTGGGGTTTTTTGTGCTGGTCATACAGCATAACTAGTTCTGTCAGACACAGGTACGGGCTGGCCGATGTGGTTTCACGGTGCCGGCGGAGCTCGACGGGTGCAGTCCCTCGCGGAGCTGGGGCAGGATCAGGCATCGGCCTCGCTGCTCGTGTTCCACGTTTTGTACCAAGGAGGTGACTCGCTTTCCAGCCTGCTCGTCGGATCTGACCCTTGGGAACACCAGCTTCAACGAGAGCTGGACGAGGACCTTTCTCCTTTGGTTCCCCATCTTTCCCACCACCAAAAGCCTCTGACTCAAGTGAGCTTTGCTGAGCTCATGTTTCCAGAAAACTTCTGTTCCTTCTGCTATCTCCCATCTCATGTCACCTGCAGGAATCAACTGCTACTTAAAAGAAGAGGGATGAAAAAACCTGAGAACACAGACCTATTTGTAGGCCCAGAAGGGAGGCTATGGGGGAATATAGTTTCAGGAATGACAAAGCCAAAGCTCTGGATAGGGCCATAGGAAGAAAAATTGAATGCTCAGGATATGAGGTGCCAAGGATTTTGGGGGAGGCAAAGTTGAAGCCATAAGTACTAAAGACAGTTTTTCACCAGTGCTAAGCGTTTGGGAATCTGGCCCTGCTTTCAAGAGTAGGTTCCTCCAAGCTGCCGCACCTCCATTTGTCCCTGCAGTCTCACATCTGGCAGGTGCAGAGGAAAAAAGGTCCTTCCACCTGCCCAGGGCTCTCAGCAGCCCATTGTTCACCATCCTCTGACCTTCTGTTCCTCAAGTATCATTTCTGATGATCCATTTAAACCTTGTAATTATACCATGTTGTTTGATTTCTTGAAAAGACATCGCAACACGGAGGCTTTTTTTCCTTGTTCTAGTCCCATAAAACATAGTCTAACCAGTCCTCAAATGAAGGTCATTACATTCCACGCTTTCAACTCACCCCACCTCTACTAAACCTACAAGCAGACTCCACCTGCTCCAGCTCCTGGCCTATATTCTGCCTCCAGACGGACACAGTTACATGGGTTTAGGGAAAGGAAGCATCTGTCCAAGTGAAAAGGGTAGGGCTGATCTATCTAACTGAGGAGCCTGGGAAGCTGTGGCATGGCTAGATAAGAAGAGGGGGAAAGGCATGAGGTGGCAAAGTAGCCCGGGCTTCGTGCCAACCTCTCTGGAGAGGAGCGGTTGTGACAGCAGCAGCAGACAGTTGGTCTCCCCCAGTGGCTATCGCAGCAGAGCAGCACTCCCCATCTTCTTCCTGTATCTCTCTGCTCACAAGGCCGGCTGTTGCTATTTGCATGTAATCAGGCAACAGATGGGAAACAAGACAGTGCCATCTTGCTTCTAGAAAAACCCTGGGGGGTCAGGCCGGGGGGGAGAGGTGGCATATATTGCAATACTGCAGTTGTGAAAGGAAAAGACAGAACATACCTCCTGATGGAAGCAAAGATGAGACAGAAGCCACAGCTTTGGTTATTAGATCTTAGAAAACAAACAAAATGCCTCCCATCAAACTAATCATCCCTATCTCTTCTAGCAAGGAGCGCTGCAAGGTCTCTGCTAAGGCGGAAACCCGGTCACACAAGGAGGCACAACGATCTCTGCTCAGGACTGTCCTAAGGGTAGGGGAACATTCCAGAACAGCAATAGCGTTAGGGGGCATTTCTGAGAGTTAACAGCATTCACCAGAAGACAGTTCAAGCATTTCTCTGTTCATGTAATCTTGCAACCTAAAATTAAGTTTTAAACTAAACAAGGGTCCTCAAGTGTCTATTCTCCTAACAGTTCTTCCTATCCCAGCTCCCACTGCAGCAACAAGGTAAAACCATACCTAGCTGATCTTGGAAACCTTGCTGCTACTCTGTACACAGACATTTCTTCAAGTCAAAGACACTTCTCCTAAAAATATTTCCTTCCCAAGTCCATAGTAGCTATTAGCAAAGAAACAGGAAATTAAATGTAAGAAAATGAAATGGAGAGGGAACTACCAAAGTACAGGTGTTCAAAAGAACATAAAACTGCAGTGAAAAATAGTTATAAATGCCAAATAGAGGAGTTTTGACCATATTCTTTTTTCACTGACAGACTGGTAGCTCAACTTTTCTAGGAACCCTTCAGAGTCAGTCCTTCCAACCTAGAAATTCAAATTCACCTTTCAGTTTCTCTGCCATACTGCCTTTTTAAGGCACTGCAATTTGAACCCAATACCCACAGCTGGAACAAACTAAAAATATTCACTCCTCTGTGCTGCTTTGTTTTAGCATAAAGGAGGTCACACCTGTGCCTCTGATTGTTCTCACCATATCTCATGCTATAAATACAGCAAGGAATACTGAAAAAAAAAAATAAAAAATGAAGTGGTTCAGCACAACTAAGCAAAGCACCACTCCGTCTCAAGTCCAAGTTCTGCTTTCACCAAATGCTTCCCTCAAGGTTTAAAAACCCACATTTTGCTTTAATATGTAGGAAGAGGCAAGAAAGCACCAGCTGTTACCTGTCAAATGGGCTACAGCCATACTAGCTGAGTTGCACATTATCAGCCAGCCAAGTTTACTTGCAACAAGAACAGGCCTTTCTGTATCCTTCCCCAACAAAGACACACACCACAGAGTAAGTGTTATAAAAGTTCCTATGTTCCTGCAGGCTACACTCTAGCCTACGCAGTGCAGTCATCTCCCCGTAATTAAGGTTCCTAATGATGTGCTGCATAGTAGCAGAAGTAACACGATCTTTTACAACTGCTCAAGGGCTGCAGGTCAAGGATCCAACTTCGTATCATACTCTGCTTGCTTGTTTCCATTGCTTCAGCTGCAGCAGTTTCTTGTAGCCTTCTTGCACAGGAGCAGAGCTGACCTACCACACCACCAGTTACCTATTCTGTTTTCAGAGCCTCAGAAAGCCAGTCATTTCATCACAATTAGCAAACACCACAAAGCTTCAGAATTATCAAATGCATCTCACGGCTATGAACCGACCTATTCAGTGTGTTCCAGAAAGCCACCTTTTAACACTACAGCACTGTCCGGTTCCTCAGTATTTACAGGCATGCAGGAAAGTATTTTTGTGTAACAGGCCTGGCCTTCCCTTCCCCATTGGACCTCTCTGAGTACACCCTACTACACATCCCAGAACTGCTACCCACCATTCTTTAGCTTTATGTCAGCATCACTTGAGGAAGTGACAGGCAAATAGGAAACATGTAAGGCTGAACAGTTACCATTGCAGTCCTGTCATTCTGGTCCAGTGCTCAAGTCCTAAATGAGATTATATTTCTGGCTGTTTGCTATGGGTAGGAGGGAGACAGAGCTTAGATTTAAAGTCCTGATCAGCTGAGCATGAACGTGGAAGATCAAAGGGTCATTCAGCATACAAGCTAAGCTTTCCCTCATTGTCCTTGAACAAAATTCCTCTCACTCTAAACTGTGGAGTAAAATGCCTGCCTGTCTGCCTCCCACTCTATCCCCAAGAGAGATGGCTGCATTTCACTACCGGACAGTTTCTGCACTCAAATGTTTTGAGATGAAAAGCTCTAAAGAGCAGCAAGATAAATAAAACTGCAGTTTATTAAAAGAGACTAACAGATTATTCACCAGACCAGCCAAGCTATTTCACAGTCTGGTCATGCTTGCAGTGAAAACAGTGGGAGTTTTGGGAACAGAGCACAAGCCCTGCTAAGAGTAAGGAGACATTATGAAATAGATCATTTTCACGAAGTCATGGAAAGGCAGGAAGCCTCTCCTAATAGTATGAATCATCAATATACCAGAAAGAAAGAGTGCACTTAAAAGTAATCACGGATGTCCAGCACTGCCAACATCATAATAGAGCATGTAAATGAGTACAAGGAGACCAAGGAGAGCAAGTCAGTCAAGTACCGACAGATCAATTCAAAACAGACAAGGGACTCAAAACTACAGCTATAATAAAGCATGTCTCATACCTGCTGCTGCTGCAACATCCTCCGCTACTGCTTGGGTTCCTTCTACCCACTACAAGAGCCATCTGATCATCCCACTGCTGTGACCCTGCAGCTTCTCCTGCTGGGAAACAGACACAGCAGGGATGAAGTTTATTATCTTCTTTGGGATCCTGTCATCATACACTTGCAGAAGTTTGGGTACATGATTTCCAGTTTTCTTTTATAGTGCTGATGGCATTCAGGGCAATCCCTTGCTTTGTGCCAGGCTGTGCATCTATGCAGGAGCTGGCATTTGACTGTTCAAAGTGACACGCAAAGGTTGTCTCCAGCAGGACACAACACATCTAGGGGACAGGGGACACCAGGACTTGTAATCTGTGCTGTTAGATGCCACCTATCCCATCCTGAGAGATGATCTTGTTTCTCCTCCCATGCCCAACCACATGGATTCAGCAGTTAGCCAACATCAGAGACTTAGTAAGATTTCCCAGAATAACATGGGCTGCATTAGATGTAAAACGTTCACCATTAAGGAATGGCAGTTAGGAGAATGTGTGTTAAAGGAAGCGTTATGTTTTTAGGACAGTTTGCCCAGAAGAGTGTCAGCAATTAGAGCTCTAGTTCACCCATCAGCTACTGTCTGGCAAAGCATGGCAGCTCAGTCACACAGCACTACCTTTCTACTTCCTGAAACCGAGTTAGATTAGAAAGTGTTAGAAACATGATATAGAAAAAAAAGTTTACATAAAGGGCTGTATTTGGCACAAGAATATTATTCCCTCATAGATACAAGGCAGTCCCAAGACAAGCTCCCCAAGAAGTGCTGCTGAACTTTTCCAGAACATGGAACTTAACGAATTTGGAAGCACAGGTACATAAAACTGTGTGGTAACAACTGGCACAATGTAATTAGGAAAAAATGCAGACACTGAAGAAAATAACCTACTTGGCTCACCTCGGAGCTCAGCAAGCCAGAAGTTCATATGGGAAGAAACTTTTTTTTTTTTTTGCCATGAATAATTACAAAAACAGGAGTTTCAAAGGAAATCAGCAGTTCCAGCTGGCACATAAACCTTATCCTAGGAACAGCCATTTTGCAGCAGCACACTTCTAACAGGACACAAGCCCCCGGAAAGCAATAACATTGCTCACCCCAATCTTTAGTCATCTGACAAATTTCTCCAAGTAAGACTATGTTTTTTAATAATTAGAGGTATAAAGGACAGTGACCATATCACAGGATACAAACTGCTCTAAAAGCTACTGCTCTCATCTTGTGATATGCTTCCTCCAGATATATCCTCCCATTCTCCATCCATTCTGTATTGTCAATTTGCACTCATTTTGGTGTTTCTTTGACTCCTTCGGTGTTAAGGCATAGAGCTAACCAGTCTCCTAGGAAACTAAGGGAAAGAAAATCCTGCCTAAACAGAGAAGCCGCGAAATTGATGCCTATTTGATATCGGAGTCAATCAGACCATCCCAGCAATGGTGTTGCTCAATGTACCAAACTGGTAGTAGCCTGTTGTTCTCAAAATCATTTTGCCCAGCTCTGGTTCTTAATTCCACGTTGTCTTTCTACAATTCTCTCTTACTCTTGTCTTAAGGCTTATTTTCTTGACCTTTGGCTGAGCCTCCAAGTATACTCCACCCTTTAGTTTGGGGTGACATTTGGTTTCTGTTACCTGCCTCCTATTTTCACTTTGGATCTAAACAGTAGGCACATCCTAAATTATCCCTCTACCTCCACTACTGCAGGCAGATACCCGAGGCACAGAATATGGTGATTAGGGATCACTCTTTAATTAGCAGAGCAAGCAAAGACAAATTCTGTCCCTACTATACTCACACATAACCTCTTCTTAATATCCCCAAAGTTCTTACTACAATCAAGATACTCATGTCAGCTGGAAACTGAGCTACAAAGTCTGTGGCTAGTTGCCCACAGTACCACAGTCAGTTTTACAAAAAAGAACTGCCCACAGGATGGGCTCAGAAATGCCAAACAGGATAAAGTTTCGCCTTCATTTCCCACATCAGTGTCATCTTTGGTGACAAATGTTTCTTACACCTGTGAAAGTTTGTGTCATTGGGCTGAACAACATGAACAGAGTTTTCCTTTAAGGAAGCATGCAGAGGACTTGATTGATTAGGAAGCAAGGCATTAACATCAGTGCCAGGCAGTTGGAGAGCACTGCCTAGACTGGAAGGAATGTATTAAAGGAGCAGATCACAAATCCAAAAGCAGACAAGAGGATCCAAAAAATAACCCATTTTGGTAGGAACAGGACGAGGATGGCATAAAAATATCTGGCCTATCAATAGGCTTTAGTCCTGCCAGGGCAAAATGTACTTTTATTGCAACTATTTAATAATTAGATTATACTATGAGACCCAGGGGAGGGAGGGAGGGAACCAGGAAGTGCGGCTATATTCGGCTGTAACTAAGTGAAAAACTTCTGCTTTCAGCAAAACTCAGACTGGATTTTTTTCCCCTTATAATTTAAAAAAAAAAAAAAAAAGTAGGCCAAACTGGATTGACCTTGCTCCTGATGCCAGAAAACACAGACTCTACTCAGATGTCTGCATGCCAGAACCCGGGGGAAAGAGCAAGTGCATAGATTCTGTTCAAGTTTACTGCAACACCCTTATCCATCTACAGCTAGTTGTGTTCTGCAAGACCTTCAGCTCAATGCATGGTACATGGCCGCGATTCTCCATACAGGGGCTTCTGTGACTATTTATACTACAAGTCAGTATCCATTCAAATCTAAACTAGCTTCAGGCTTTAAAAAAATAAACACATACACCCCCCAGCCCCAAGCTGTTTGCTGAACTGTCTGCAAACACATCCTCTCAAAACTGGAGTCTTCCTGATGTGCAACAGCTGATGTATTTTTTTTTTTTTAATGTGAAAGTAAAAAATACTATGCTAATTTGGAAATAAATCCCACAGGCTAGGCTAGCTTCAGCACTATGATTATCTGAATTAAATACACTGCTGTTGGGTTTGCTTCTGAAGTGTACCAAGGCCCACTGGAGAGCTGGCCTCTTCATCTGTAAACAGAAGTAAAGACTCAAAAATGTATCAGGTCAAGCTCGTTGCTAGCCCAGGTTCCACAGCAGATTTTCTACCACACTAAATTCGGTGCCTTGCACCTTCTACCATTTGTATACACATATCTGCATTTAGCCCGTCTGCACATCACTGAATATACTTTGTCAAGAACCCATGAAGTTCAAGCTTCTCAGCTAGTGACAGTCAGAATGATTTAGGCTCCAACCCCCACCCAGAACCAGGCCAACATAGATCAGGTTGCTCAGGCCCTGTCCAAAAATACAGCCAGCAAACAGCAGCTAGCCCTCAGTTACTCTACAGTAAAAGTGCCCTTGTGAGAGACAGTGACCCACTCACATATGGGTCTTTAAGACACATCAAATTGGATCAGGAATTCTTCAAGGTTTACATGCTTGGGTCAAGAGGTTCTCTGATGCTGCTCTATCGTCTAGACCTACCACACCTAAACCCCAAAACATTTAAAAATATTAAGCTGGAACCCAAACCAGAGGGAAGCCACCTCTACTTACCTTCTGAAAATGTGAAGGTAAAAGAAGCAGCCGTCCTGGATCTTCATATCTGTGTAACAGTGCTCTGGATATTTGTAGCACTTTGTCATTATTCTAGTCTTTCTGTAACTCTAGCCCCCAGAGCTGGACTGAGATGATACCTAAAAGCAAGTAAGATTTATTCAAGTATGGCACTTCAGATATTTTTCTGGTGTATTTTCATTATATAGCATTTCTCTCACTTGCTTTAAAACATGCTTAAGTAGGTAAAGTAGCCCTGCAGGAATGCATCGTAGCAAATAACACACAAAGCAATTAAAGTGAATGCTTTAACATTTATAAAGCACTTAGCAACTGAAAACCTGAAGTACTTTACAAGCATTTATTCTGCTTCATAACAATTCCTACATAAGCAAGCCTACTTTACATTATCACTAATATAAGTGATGGCTACATTAAGGTCCCGCAGGCAGCTCACTCAATGCCATGTCTCCACAGCAAGTGGGAACCAAGGCAGGAGATGAGGGTTTTAAACCTAATTTCAACCTATTGATGCTTCTACCTGTTTATGGAGATTAGTTTTACTGAATATTCCCTTTTCATTGACTGTATTTTCTAAGATTCAGCAAGAGATAGATAGTTTTTTGTTTTTTTTCTTAAAAAATACAACAGTGAATGTACCTAAGCTGAAGTTCCAAACAGTTTTAGTGATGCTAAAGGCCTAGAGAGATTTCAACAGATTCAGTGAGATCTTCAGGGCTAAGAGATTTCAGGTAGCTAACTCTGCTGACATCAGTGGCAATCTGGCACCTACATATATTCAATAACCAAGGATTTAAAAACAAAAAATCACTGTTGTGTGATTTAACACTTAATTTCAAGTCATCAAGCACTTGCTAAACTTTCTTCTGGTGTAGTGTCAGGAAATTCCTCATTTCCTACTTGGAAAATTCTGACAGAGTTAAGAGACTGCAAGTCTGTCTTAAAAACCTTATTAAAGGGAGCTTAACCCGAGTAGGGATCTTGTAAGACCGGTGTTGCACCCTGAAGAAATCGCCCCCTCTTCCCAAGCCGATTCCCAATTTCAGTAGCTTGTTCAGGGTGAAGAAGTAGCTTCATGCACTGACATCTAGTGGTGACGCCAATATGGAAGGCACCTGCCGGCATACACAGCCTCTCAAGCGTCACATCCCTTTGTGTTTTTCCTTAGAACAGACTTGCAGTTCCAGTTCCAGCTCCGATAAATGCCAGGGCTGGAGCTTCTTCGGTACTGACCGCTGGCACATGGCCAAGGGCTGTACACATCCTTCACACACAAATTAATGAAAAAATAGATTTTTATTTCTGCCAGAAGCCTCCTAAGTCTGGGCTGGATGTTGAACTGAAGTGTAGCAGCAGTAAGTTAAATCCTTGCAGTCTGTTCTACTGGTAGATACACACATACAGAAAAGTTCTTGCAAGCTCTGCTGTGGTCATAATATGATCTGATTTTTGCTCTTCTGAAAGCATCACACAGCTTAGCAAATGTTAAGGCCATCTTCCCTTCTTGTTGCCCCCTTCCTCTACACACAGTGGATACTGTAGAGTTATGTCAATTCAGTGTTCAAACTGCACAGAGGACTTACAGTTTGCATTACCTTTTTAATTATCAGGTGATGATAAGACAGCATGGGGAACTGGATTCCTGGCTTCTGTTCAAGTACTGCCACCTCTAGGAAAGTTATTAAACACCACCCACTTCTGTTTGCTTTGTTTTTCCAATAACATCCTGTTGGTGGTGGCAAGTCCTCCTAGTATCTATTAACATAAACAACTTATTTCAGACATAAGCTTCACTAACACCTAGAAGATCTAATTAATATTTTGTTTGATAAAATTAAGCGCTATAGCTTTCAATGCAGAGTTTTTGAAAGAGGAATCCTTTAGCTATCACCAACAGGCAACTATTTCAAGGGGATGTGGTAATGTGCAACTTTTCGCACGGTCATCGCATACTTTAGTCTTTTTCATTCAAGCAAATCTGCAATTGAATTTGGATATTTGAAAGGTCCACATATGTTATGTCAGAACCAGTCTTCAAGCTACCTGTTATTTTTCTACCACAGGCAGATTTCATTTAATGCAAGAAGGAGATAAAAGATGAAGAACTTGCAGTCTACAAGCTCTTTGACATCTTTTTTACTGCTTCTAACTGCCCCACATTTCCATTAGGGCCCTTCATAAGTTTGCAACATTACACATGTTTACTCTTGTGAGGCCTGAGCTTTGTCTCATAGAAAATACACGGGAGACGAGCAACTACAAAGTGTTCAGACTAACTCCTCCCTTTTCTTTCCATTAAGGAATACTGTGCTACATTTCTTTGTTCTCATTCCTCTTGCTCTTTGAGGTGATGGTTTAGTTCATCCCAAATTTACCTTAAATTAAACATTTCAAGTAAGTCTAATAACCTGAGAGCATAACATTCATTAGCCTAGCACTAGATTTTGGCTCAACTGCAATTTGAAATTCTATTGCAATTCTAAATTCCAGGCAGTCTTTTCTTTTTTCTTATAAGTAGGAATAATTCATGCATCTGCACAGCAGTGTTTTCTCCTGCAGCAACCTTTCAGTAGGTTTGCAAATTGGTTCACTGAAATAACCACAGTTACTAATGAGTTGTTCATGCGCCCATAGTTCTCCTGGGCTTAAAGTGTACAATTTTTAGATCAAACGTACGCTTATCGCAACCAATACGTACACTCCCACTTCACATACCACACATACTGCTTCCCATTCCTCCCTGCTTGGGCAAAAGCAGAGGTATTTCATCTTGACTTCTTCAGAAGGTTTGCCTTTCAACATTTCACAGGAGACTGGCTACACCTAGGAGCAACAACAATTTGGAATGAGAAAAAATTGTATTACTTGTATGACTAAGGATGACATGCACTCACGAGGATTATAGGCTTAGGCTCCGAGAACTTCATAATCCCTAAAGATAACCATAGTTGGAAAGAAATCATGTGTTCCACCAAATACCCATACTTTTCCCCCAGTCTTCACATAAAGCAAGATACTGTTGCTCACAGACAGTGTTACCACATTAACATTATTGATATATTATGTTTAACCAGCCATCAGCCTAATCACAACGAGGGAAGCAGCTCCCACAGAGCACCTGGCCAGTGTGGGGGTCCACACAGGGGTGAACTCGCTGCCCCCCTGCTCCAGGCCAGCCAGAGGCCCGAGTTAGCGAGAGCCGCCTCCGGGGAACTACAAGGTGCCTCATCAGCTCAGGGCAAAAACACGACCAGCTCACATTCGCCCGTGAAAGAACTACACAGGCAAAGCGTCACCAAAAAAATCCCCCCCCGACGATATTTCGAGAGCGGAAAGGTTAACTAACGACAAGAGCCTTTCCGCATGAGAGCCCAAAGCAGCACAGCCCTGCGAGGCCCGCCCAGGCCCGTTAGGCCCCTGCCACGGCCCGCCCCGGGCCGGCCCAGCGCGGAGTCAGGGCCCGGGAAAGGCCTCTCCCTCCAGCAGGCCGCACACAGGGCGGACGGCGGCACCCCCTCAGCAGGAAGGGGGGCCGGGAGCCGGGGGCGCGGCGCTCCCCGCCTCCGCCTCAAGAGCAACGGGGACTCACCGCCTTCCTCCACCCAATCACTCCGTGGACCCGGCGCCGCGCCTCTGCCCGGCCCCAAGATGGCCCCAGCGGGGAGGGCTCAAGGCTGCCCGAACCCAACATGGCTCCCTGGGGAAAACAGCCGCTCCGGTCCCCGGGCGCCGCCGGGAACCCGCTGACTTCAAACCCGGACCCAAGATGGCCGCCGCCGCCCCCGCTCTGCCAAAAGCCCTCAGCCCGAACCCAAGATGGCCGCCGGCAGCTTCACCGTCAGCGGCGCCGCCGGGATACCTGTCCGAATCCAAGATGGCAGCCCCCGCTGGCTGTGAGGCTGGCTCGGGGGTCACGTGACGGAGGGGGGGTGTGGACCGTGTCCCGGCGGAAGCGTGAGGGACCGAGCAGGGAACAGGGACTGGCGGCGGCGGGAGCGGGCTGGCGCCGCCGGAGCAGACGTGCCGCAGGACGGGAGACACGGCTGTCACCACGGAGCCCGCCAGCGCTAACACGGCGGCGACGGCCGCTTCGCGGGCCGGGGGCGCCGGGGACCAGCCAACCTCGCTGCCCCCGCCCCCGCCGAGGATGCCGCGCAGGAAGGTGAGCGCGGCCGGGGAACCGGGGAGGCGCCCGGCGGGAGAACCGGCGAGCTCGGGCCGCAGCTTTTTTTCCCCTTCCCCACCCCCTCCGCTACCTCTCACGGGCACAAAACCGGGGGGAAAATAGCGGCCTTCAGCCCCCAGCGCCCGCCCCGCTCGCTCCCTGAGTGGCTCCCGCACGGGAACGCTGGGCGCTGATTGGCCGCCGTGCTCGTCACTCATCGCCCCCAACGGTTACCGTTTCCCTTCCCCCGCGCCTGCATCGCGGTCCGCCTGTCGGCTTTTCCGATTGGGCAGGCCGTTGGAGAGCTGGTCACGTATTGGTCGGACTGCCTTGCCGGGCTGGCCGCTGATTGGCTTCCGCCGCTGCCCATCTACGTCCCCCCCCCCAAAGGCCCCCCCCCCCGCGGGCCCTTTTTTTCCCCCCCTCCCCTTCCCCCATTCCCACCCCGCCCCTCCCCGGGTTGATGTTTCTGTGGGAGCGAGGCTTGCACGGATAGGCTGGCGCCTGCCGTCACTCACGGCTGGCGGCCACGCCCTTTTGCTCTCGCAAGCTGACATTGGCGGGCTCTCCTTTTCGGCCCTTCCCACTCGCTTTGTGATTGGCCGGGACCGGCGAGTCTCCGCTGGGTGCAAAACAAAGCGGCGCGGGGGCCGCGCTCGCGCCGCCGTGCGCGCGGGGCCTCGGCGCCAGCCACTGCCCCCGCCCTTCCCCTCAGGCGGGCGCCGGCACCTGCCTCGGCCTCGTCGCCATCTCCTCAGGGCCGGCGGCCGCTCGGGGCTACCTCCGGCCGCCCTGACCGAGACCTGTCGACGCCCTCACACCCTAGCTGTCCAGGCAGGGCTGCCGGGCAGGGGAGGGATCTTCAGTGGGCTGGCGGCTGCCCGCCAATTCCTGAGGCCTGCTTCCCTCAGACAGCCGCCCAGTCCCCTGCGTGGTGCAGGGGCCGCTCTGGTGGTCCGAGACAGGTGAATACAAACGGCATTCGCGGCCTCTTTTGGCCCGGCCTCTTCACCAAGTGCCTTCGTTTTCTCTGCCTTGCCTCCACCAGGGAGCCCTGACGCTGCCCTGAATTGCTGAGTGGTGAAGAGTCAGTTTGGCCGTTGCTGGAGCCCATCTGTTTTCTCCAGCCCCTGCTCCCGTGGTGCCTTGTGCTCTGCTGAGCTGCCTCTGCTGTTTTGAACAGGCAGATGGTGCGGGAGTGCTGTTGGCTTGGCGGGGTGAACCGAGAACGGTCAGCTCAGCATATCCTGTCCAGCCTTGAAACTTCATTTACCTTTTGCTTTAAATAAAATCGGGTGCTGCTGTGATCTTTCTTAGTGGATCAGTTTGCAGAAACTTTTTATTATTGAAGGCACTGTCTGACACCGCATATTTATTAAACTAAAATACTTTCTCCAGAGTAATACACCTGACACTTACTAGTTTGCATATGTCATTATGTCAGCTTGACTTTTATCTGTCTAGCATCAAATATTTTCTCTCTTTTTTTTTCTACACAATATGCAAGTTTAAGCACTCCTGTGCTAATGTCTGGGTCTGTGGTGTTGCAGAGAAATGCGGGCAGTAGCTCAGATGGAACAGAAGACTCCGATTTCTCCACTGATCCTGAGCATACGGACAGCTCTGAAAGTGATGGCACATCACGACGATCCGCCCGTGTGACCCGTTCCTCAGCCAGACTCAGTCAAAGCTCTCAAGGTAAATGCCTTATTTTCTTAAACAAGGAAAAGAAAAGCAGCCTCTTAAGCAACAAGAGGCTCAATGTACTCCATATTCCTGACCTTTAGAACTTAAATATGTGGAGTTTATACCTAAGTAAAAATATTTAACTTTTTTCATTGGCTATTAATGTACCACAGCAAAAAGCAGTCTTTATACGTGCATATCACACAAATGAGGTAATATAATCTAAAGATTACACTGGTGGTGGAAGTCAAAACTCGAGTATGCTCTGTTCAAAAAGTAAAGCTATCTTCTTGTTAAAGGAAGTAGGAATCAAACACCATGATTCTGCTGCCAGCTTTGCCTAATTTTTCTGAGAACTCTAAAAATTTGTTTTCCATCTAGACAGTTGTATTGGTACTGGCGCCAAACTAGAGAGAGGGTGTTTAGGGGTGTAAGTTGTTTTTGTTTTATTTGTTTGTTTGGGGTTTTCTGTACTGCAAGGAAAGATGTGTTTTCATGAGTTGCTGACGCTGACCCTGCTCTGCAATAAATGTAATCAACATATTGCCAGTTATTTTGTATGCTTCTACTTTGGCATCAAGATCATAAGAGGAAACATTGAATGTGTCCACCTCCTCATTTTTCTTGGCTGTTAGTTAATAAGCTGCCATCTGGTATCAAGGGGAGGAAATGGCAGTAGATAATAACTTCTTTCCATTGCTCCGTGTGTACACTTTGATAAAGAATCTGTTTAGCGACAAATTTTATTGCAGGTAAGAAATATACATGCATGATCATCTGGTAATTAGGTCTTAAAAACAAAAGGAAAGGTGGTTTGGATGTGTATGGGAGGCCTGTGATATTCCTGGGTTATGAAAGCATTATTTTCATGCAAAATAATTATTTTATAGTCTTATGAGCAGCGTAGGATCACAAAACCACACACAGGGTCCCAAACATAGCTCCACACCAGAAGCAGTCTTGCTATTCCCAAGGGTTATCTAAACACTGATAGTTCTTAGCTAAACTAAAAGTTATTTAGCTTTCCAAATGGGATCTGGTTTGTAATTACTTGTTAATTAAGTAATTTAGTCCAGAGAAAGCTGATCTAATTCCAGATTCCTCAGTGGCGGTGGTTTTTTAAATCTTAAAAAAGATTTAAGCTCGGAAGAACAGAGCATATCTTTGTGATGATGTGCAGTGGTGAGGGGTAGGACAGAACTCTATGTTGATACCCAGCTATCAGATGTTGGTATTACAGACTTCAGAGCACGTGCGAGGCAAGTCTCTGACTTAAGAGTAGTTATTGTGGGTGTAATTATGGTGTTTCTGTGGAATTAGATTCCAGCCCAGTTCGTAATCCGCCATCGTTTGGAGCAGAAGAGCCTGTCTATTCTACGAGGAGGGTAACCCGCAGCCAACAGCAGCCTACTCCTGTGACTCCAAAGAAATACCCACTCCGGCAGACTCGTTCATCTGGATCAGAGACTGAGCAAGTGGTTGACTTTTCTGATAGAGGTATGTAAGGCACAGTGAGGTGTTGAAAGTTTGCAGAATGCTGTTGGAAAGAGTATGCGACTCCATTCTCTGAGGGCACAGTATAATATCCTGAGGATAGAGGGTTTGAGACAGCTGTCCGGAGTTGCTTTACATATTTTTTTGAAAGCTTTCTTTCAGGCAAATTTGTAACATCTTGATCCTTATTCAGACACTAAAAATGCAGCGGATCACGATGAGTCTCCACCTCGTACCCCCACCGGGAATGCCCCTTCCTCAGAGTCTGATATTGATATCTCCAGTCCAAATGTATCCCATGATGAGAGCATTGCCAAGGACATGTCCATGAAGGATTCTGGAAGTGACCTGTCTCACCGCCCTAAGCGCCGCCGCTTCCATGAAAGCTACAATTTCAACATGAAATGTCCCACTCCTGGTTGTAACTCTTTAGGTAATTTCAGCTCCAGGATTAATCTGTTGGTTTTTGCCTTCCTGCTGTGATATTCAAAGTCCCGCTCAGTTGAGTTATACATCCTAACAATATGCACTTAATTAGGATCACAAGTATTACTGAGAAGTGGGTATAGAGAAGGGATATGAAGCGTATCTGCAGGTATATTTTTCCTGGAGGTGTTTTCTGGCTAGGAGTGATTGGGGGATGATAGGGTAAAGAACAAGTTAGGAGTATGAGCACAGGTGTGGGAGGAAAATGCAGAGTCTTGCAGGTAGGGTACTGGTGTCTGCCAGAAGCAGGTTTTCAGAAATGAATTATTGCAGACCTCTAGTATACCTGGCTGCTTGCATGGAGTGCAGCTTCTGAGTTAGTGTGAAAAAGATTTTCCACCTTTGTTCTTAAAGCTTGTGTCATGAACCATGAAGTGTGCTCCTTCTGTCACACTGGTAATAAACTGAGCATGCTCCTTGAGAAGCTCATATGAGGGATCTGCCCATCTGGGATACTTCTTAAATCTCTTTATGATCATATGTTAAAAGTTCTGGGTTTTTTTTTTCTGATCCTTTGCAGGACACCTAACTGGAAAACACGAGCGACACTTCTCCATATCGGGATGCCCACTATATCATAATCTCTCAGCAGATGAGTGCAAGGTAAATGAGTTTTCTGTTTTATCTTCCTTATTTTTTTTTGGAACAAAATGCCAAGACCTGTCATTTGTGAACAGAAAATATGACTTAACATGTTTCAGCTGATGTCTTTAGCTGTAAGAAAGCAGCATTTGTGTGTCAAATCATCTGTGAATTTCGGTTCAGAAAATTCACCTAAATGAGGAAAGGAAAAGATGAAGGCTTTGATAGTAGTTTGCTGCAGCATTGACAGGTGAGTTTTGGCTTCCAGGTGCGAGCACAGAGCCGGGATAAGCAGATTGAGGAGAGAATGCTGGCCCATCGGCAGGATGACAACAACAGGCATGCCACCAGACACCAGGTAGGCCATCTGCACATATGGTTGCTCAGTTAAAAGTGGAAAAACCTCAGCTTGTGGTTTCCAGTGACAGTGATTTTAACTTGATCTCCGTTTTTCACTTCTCAGATAAGCTATTGTGCTGAGTCCTGATGCTCCCCACTTGTCATCTCCAATTTGTTTCAGGAAGGGCAACTCATTGTAATCAAGGGCAATTTGTTTCAGCAAGGGCAATCCCTTAAATGAGAGACTGGAGCAGCTATTGAGAGCAGAGAGGTGGCATTGGCCAGTAATATTACAAAGGAGGCTGGAGCTGTTCTCAGAATGATCTTTTTTATGTGCTTTGATGTCTAGGAGAAGAGAATTCCTGCAGAACTGTAAACTACAATTTTAGTCTGACTAAATAGAAAAGAATAACACCAGGGGAATTACATTTTTCAGTTCATGAGTCTTGGACTTGAGTCAAGATGACTTAATGAGTCAGCTCTGAGCTTTTCCCCATGATTAAGCAGTGCATAAGGAGCGCACCCTGTCTTGTGGGACTGAGGTACATTGGCAAAGGCAAGCTGCGGTAGGAAGAAAAATTTCCTATTTTACATACCTGTGTTGTACCTGCAGTGCCCTCTTATTAGCACAGGATTTGGTTCAGAGGCAGCAAACCTCATAAAATGAAAGCCAGGACAGAGGTCCTTTAGGGTGGGAAGGTGAAGAAAAATGTTTGAAGTGGATGAAGCCTAGTGAAGGTTTCTACCTCTGGTTTCTTTCAGGCACCAACAGAGAGACAGCTGCGATACAAAGAGAAAGTAGCTGAGCTCAGGAAGAAGAGGAACTCAGGACTAAGCAAGGAGCAAAAAGAAAAATATATGGTAAAAGCAATAACTTTATTCTTTCATTCCCTGCTGTCTGCAGTGAGACCACTAAGAGGAAGTTTGGCTTTCCCAGTCATTCTGCAACATTCTCAGCTAAAAAAGCTGCAAGATCCAACAGTTTAGTAGCGGCATGGCAGCAAAACCTCCTATTATTTTATTATTCTAGGAGCACAGACAAACCTATGGCAATACTAGGGAACCTCTACTTGAAAACCTGACGAGTGAGTATGACCTCGAGCTTTTCCGAAGAGCACAAGCACGGGCATCTGAGGACCTGGTGAGACTTCTAACTCAAGCAAATGTCTTTGTTAGAAACGTGAATGCTTTCTGGGTTTTGTTGTGCTTGTAAGAAGAGCAGCTACAGCCCAGCCAAGTCAGCAACATTACACTAGGGATAATGTTTAAGTGCCAGTCTTTCAGAGGGTTTGCTGGAAGTGCAGCTGGAGCTAAGCATTTGCAGTCATGAATGCTGCAGTGCCTGCAAGAGGAATAATTAGTAACAGTTGCATTTAATAGGTGTTTGTTTTCAGTGAAAGAATGGACAGCTTCACCTGCTGAAAGAATGGCTAAGGAGTGATGATAACAAAAGACAAAAGCCATCTTGACAGTAGCCGGTGACTGTGGAGTGGAGTTCAAAACCTTGTATTGCTTGAGGCTTCTGTAGGTGCTTTCCAAAGCTACCTTCCATCTCCAGAGATGAACCAAAAGATATGTGATGCTTACCAGTGACAACCACATCTGGGATATCTAAGGCAGAGCATTAGGCTGTGCCCTCTTCCTAAAGATTAGGAAAGCAGCATGAAGTGGCAAGGAGCTTACATGGCTTTTGTGACAGAAAGAGTATGATCCTAGTGTTAGCATGCTGCTAAGTACAGATTCACAAGACATTTCCTGATGAAAGGAACAGTCAATAACTGTACTGCTTGTGGACAGGGCTCAGACTGAGGAGAGGTCTGTGGGAGGGGTCATTAGGCATGGTCACACAGAAAGATGAATTTAGAAGACTTGAAGTAAATTATTTCCTTGAGGGAAATAAATAGGGCCCTCTTCCTCTCTACCTACTTTTTAATTTTTTAAAAAATAATCATCCATACTTTTTCATTTGTAGGAAAAGTTGCGGCTCCAGGGCCAGATCACAGAAGGCAGCAATATGATTAAAACAATTGCTTTTGGCCGTTATGAGCTGGATACCTGGTATCATTCTCCCTACCCAGAGGAGTATGCTCGTCTGGGACGTCTCTACATGTGTGAGTTCTGTCTCAAATATATGAAGAGCCAGACAATACTGCGCAGACACATGGTAAGGGCTAGGGCAGAGCTGATTCCTTAGTTTTAAATGTGATTTTGGCATGTAAATGTTTTAAAACGTTACTGTTGTTAGCTCAGTTGCTTGCTTTAGGAGGTGAGACGACTGCATGTTTCCTGGTATATCCAGTAGCTGTTGTGTAACCTTTTCCACCCTTAAAATAGTAGTGTCACCCTAACTTTGTTTTCCTGTCATAGGCAAAATGTGTTTGGAAACATCCACCGGGTGATGAAATCTACCGCAAAGGCTCCATTTCCGTGTTTGAAGTGGATGGGAAAAAGAACAAGGTAACTAACTGTGATCAATAGGCCAGTCTTGAGTGTGGAGTCTATCTTTCAAATGTGCCAGGCACTGCTTTTCCAGTAGAGATACAGGATGCAGATGGCCCTTTCTCCCTCTAATTGCAGAAAGGCTACTAGAGTCTGATCTGTCCATTCTTGCAATTCTGGCAGTAGTTTTGTTTGCATTTTTGTTATAGTTATTCCTCAGTCCTGTTGTGCTCCAGCAGTTCCATCTGTTGTCTCATACTGAGCTTGGAGATGTGTGTCAAGATCCGTTTCTGAAAATGGGGACATTTCTGTGCTTGGCCTCAGCAGCTTGCTACTGCCCATCTCCCATTCACTGTGAACACTCAGTCAAATTTGTGTCAAAGTGGGAAGCAGCCCAATGTTATTGAGGGTGACCTCCTTAACCCTGAATTGAAGGGTAGAACGTGAATCCGCAACTGCAGATTCAGGGCTGGGTAGTAGCACCATGTTTGTGCCCTGTCTCTAGTTGTGTCCGGTCTTGAAGGCTTCAGAGGAAAGAACAAAAAAACAAATTCAAAAGCTAAATTCTGCACTGCCGGAAGTTGGGAGGAGTCTTTTCTAGTTACCAGAGATAACCTTGGGGCACAAGATTAATACAATACAGTGCAAGCATGCAGAGATCCAACCTTCTGCTCCCCTTCACTGAGGATGTGATGTTTTGGGCATTCAGAGATTGATATCGCAAACGTCAGTTCCCACCCTTAGGAAGCTAGGCTTATCAAGTTTCATCACAAATGGAATTGTTTCCTGGCCCAGCTGCTCTGTTTGAAAGACTGTACGTCATTTCTCAGATGATTCAGAATTTTCTTGTCATTTCCCACGTATGCCTGGTTTTGTCTACTCTTGGGATGTTCCACTGTAATAAACAGGTGTCTCCTATTCTCCTTTTGCTTCTAGATCTACTGTCAAAACCTGTGTCTGCTGGCAAAACTTTTCTTGGACCATAAAACACTGTATTATGATGTTGAACCCTTCCTGTTCTATGTCATGACAGAAGCTGACAACACTGGCTGTCACCTGATAGGATATTTCTCCAAGGTTAGTTGAAAATACATACATACACATTATTACCTTGCTAGAATGACATTTAGGACACCAGTTATCAGTACTGAATCTCCTGTCGTGAGTTTTTGCAGTCTCAGGATTTGTTGCTTTTAGGAGTAGATAGAGTTTCAAACCTGATCTCCATGAATTGTTCTTGCTGTTTGCTGCAGGATTTGCAGGTGCTTTGCTGTAGCATCTTTCCTCATTACTAGCAAAAACCAAATCAGTTCAAATGAACTATTTTTGCTACGAAGCATGGTGGTGTCTTAAATGTAGGCAAAAGTAATGACAAAGAAAATGTAAAGAAATGTAGAGAAAAATACATTAAAATAAGTATTAGTCACCATGTGTTTTTGTTGGTTTTTTTAATAAAGTACTTGAAAGAATAAAAATTCTTAGGTGGAGAAGCTGAGACATAACTCAAGTAACTTAAGCAGATCCCACAAGTAAGTCACTGGCCAGGCTTAGAGTAGGAGCCAGTTTTCTTAACTGTTTGCTCAGACATGTTGCCTACCTAAAAAATAGCCAATCTGTTTATTTAATCTGTCCTGCACATTGGTGAAATACATTTCCTGGTTGTTCTTACTTCACTACAGAAAAAGTGATTACCTTTCTGGACATGGTGATATCATGCAATGCCTTATCAGTTTCGATATTTCAGTCAGTGAAATTCTATAGGTAGGAGAATACTCTCCCAAATAAAGTGCAGGGAATTATATTCCTTAAATCACCTGAATTAAAACTGAATAAATACCTAAAAAAAAAAAATGTTCTGAAGAAAAATCTACATCGATCTGAGTGTGTCTGAGTCTCTTCTTTGTCTGAATATTTCAATATACACCATGTGCTTATAATGCTGCTGTTACATGCAAAAAGAAAGCAACATAAACCTGATAGATGACAGAGGTGGTAGTGAGAGTGTTACTGGCTCCTTCTCGGGTACAACTCCATGGCCAGCCATCCTAGCCTTAAAATTGTGCACCAAACACCCAATTTAATGGCTAATAAAGTAAGACACTGAGCCAGGTTGGTAGCTGAAGGATGATCATGTTACTTGTTGTTAGGCAGGTTTTTCTGCTGTTGGTCCTTTCACCTTGTATCAGTTGCACAGGCTTGTTCAGTCTGTTGGGATTATGATATACTCACTGTTTGTACAGATCTAGACCTGTTAATCTATCCTCTCTGTTCTTGTTTTTAGGAGAAGAACTCTTTTCTCAACTATAATGTTTCTTGTATCCTGACAATGCCTCAATATATGAGGCAAGGTTACGGCAAAATGCTCATTGACTTCAGTAAGTAGAGAAAGAGAGAAATTCTGGAAGCATATCCTGTCCAATGTGACAATTTCACCAAGAAATCTAACATACCTATGGTGGTGGTTGAGCAGTTTTCACTGTAACTGATTGCTGCATGTGGTAAACAGGCTGAAAGTCAGGAGAGAGTAGTTTAGGAAGGATAACTAGGTTTTCTTTCCTTTACAGGCTATTTGCTTTCTAAAGTAGAAGAGAAAGTTGGCTCTCCGGAACGCCCTCTGTCTGATTTAGGCCTCATCAGCTACCGTAGTTACTGGAAGGAAGTTCTCCTTCGTTACCTGCATAATTTCCAAGGAAAAGAGATCTCTATAAAAGGTATGTTTTTAAGCTAAATAAGCTTGTAGTGAAGTGGTTCAGAAATATACCTATGCATCTCACTCACTCATTTTCCTCAAATATGAGGCAGGTCATGCTTGACTCATTCATATAAGTGTTTGTGTAGCAGCACAATTAGTGGAATATTCCTGTAGTTGGGTATGGTTCCTTTCCAGTCCTGCCACCATTGAAGGAAGATAAGCCAGCTTGCAGAGTTTTGAAAGTTTGTGCTGGCTGCTTCTTTTAAAAAAATACATTTTTAAAAAAGATTCAGCATCTTTAAGTTCTTACTTTATCCATCTGTAGATTAGAATGTTAATTTTAAAAAGAAGAATGGCTCCCCTGAGAGGCTTTCAAATGCTTTGGAAAAATACTAAGACTGTTTGGACTTCTTTTAATAGCATTTTTATGTTTATGGCACCTAGGAGTATGCAGCATTTCATAGAGATATCAAGGTAGTTCTGAAGAAGTGGCTACACCTTCTTTCAGAGGATTACACCTTACTAACTTGGATCCTAAAATCAATATCACTAAATCACTGTGATGTCTAGGCTGGCTTTCAGTTTTTGGGTGAGCTGGGCTGTTTCTGTACAGCTCTGCATGGCTTGTATCCATAGGCTGTGGCTCTTCAAGCTATTTGCAGTCAGTCAGTCCTCAAGAGTGAAATAAGCAAAGGCATGTTGTATAGCAGTGCTACAGATAACCAGGGTGGTCAAAGGGTACAAGTCCGGCAGCAGCAGTAATACTGCATGTACCTCCTTCGTATGTGCAAGGCATTTTGTGTATATCACTTCAAAAGGAGTTGCATAAAACTTGTAGTTGAAAACTAACAGTTATAGGCTGTTGCGGAGGAATTTGTTTCTAACATAAACTGATACTGGTTTGCAGAAATCAGCCAGGAGACTGCAGTAAATCCTGTCGACATTGTTAGCACGTTGCAGGCGCTTCAGATGCTCAAGTACTGGAAGGGAAAACACCTGGTCCTAAAAAGACAGGTAAGATTTGTGGTGGCTATTTCTGTATTGTTTCCTTATATTTAGCTGTTAGATTCATATGAATGTGCTGAAATCAGTATTTCTTTTGCATTGTGCTGGCTTTTCCAGCCTTTTCATTCTAGTGGGGGAGTGCTGTAATTTTCAAATGTAGTAACTGATAAAATACGACGTGGGCATCCAACCTGATTCTTCAATAGTGTAGAAATATGCTGTATTGACCTTCCTCTTCTGATGTGTGGAATAACGTTACTCACTGTAAGTGGCTTTTTAGGGAAGCAATGGATCAACATTCCCATCATGGTCCTCATCATACCTGCCCTTTATTGGGCCAATGGATGACATAGAAGTGAACTGAATTAATGGAATCCTGAATGAGTCCTGTTTGTACCCTCATTAGGTATAAGACAAGTGGTTTATAAATCCCCAAATGTGACAGATTCTCTCTTTTGTTTTCCCCTCCCTGAGAAGACTTCACTTTGTAGCTAAAAGTAGCCTTATCAGTGTGATTGGAAGGGCTTCTAGAAAGCACTGTGGAGGAAATGGTATTTTTGTCATGCTAAGCAGTTAGTAGGCTAGTCATCTACAGACTTGTGGACTTAGATGTGTGGTGGTGTACCATGGATAATTCTCCATCATGGATCATTTGTTTTAACCTGCCCTTTCATGCTCTTTTCCTTAGGATCTGATTGATGAATGGATAGCCAAAGAGGCAAAAAGATCCAACAGCAATAAGATAATGGATCCCAGCTGTTTGAAATGGACCCCTCCTAAGGGAACTTAACTGTCTATCACTCCTGAAGCCAGTGAACCCCAGCAGTAGGAAGTACCCTAGGGATCTCTGTTGTATCTGTTGCTGTTGTGATTGGCTGGTACAGTACCCTCCCAAAAGATCAGTTCCCCTTGGTACTGTTCTGGCCCAGATCTTTTGTGCACACCACAGACGCTAGTTCTGAGGAACTTTATGTTTCGGCCTCAATGAGGTTGCAAGGATTGGATCTGTATAGGACCCAAATGAAGCTCCTAGCAGCACTGGCCCAAGGAGTTCTGATATCTGGTACTGTACCTGTCCAGTCACTGGTCTTACCCTCATGTTCTTATTCCAATGAGGTTGTGTTGTGTCCTATAATCTGGTTGTTTCTTCCTTCAGGTTCTTTGCGTTCTAAGTAATGGAGAAAACTTCTGTGGCTTTTGAACAAGGTCAAATAATGCTTGTTTGGGCAAAGTCTGGTTTTCCAACGAGCTGCAGTTACACTGACTTCAGCATTTTTAACTAGTCCTGTCTGATGGACTGTTCCATTCCATGTATCAAATAGTTTTAGTAAGATAACATGCCACCTCTTTCAGCAGTGTTTTCCATATAATATAGCAGGTCTTCACATAGTTAATACTGTACAGTCAGAAGCTTGCATATCTTGTAACTGAGTGGTGTGATTGTTAGTGTTACCCTGGAGGAGTCAAGGCTAAGTGTGTGAGAACATCATGGTCTGAGATGTTTCATAGAGTTGCTCTTGGTATATGCTCCTGGAGCTACTACAGTACCACGCCTGTTGGAGAGACCTCTTTGATTATAAGTTACTGTTTTTTCCTAGTTTATCTCTTGGAGTTAGTAGGTTCCTTTACACAGAAGCAGCCTGTTTGGTATATTTCACTGGAGATACTTTTCCCAGAGCAGTCTTCCTTGAATTGTAGGTCTCTCTGTATTGGAGAGGATTTTTTTCCTCTAGACTGAAGAAATAAAAACTTTAGACAGATTTTTGCTAGCCTTGTCCAAACAGCCACAGAAACTCTACAATGCAAATATCGTCAGTTGTTGGATTGCCTACAGTGTACGTTCTGTGCATCAGTGGCAGCTCCAGTTAGCTGTGTGGGTGGTTTGCTTCTCTGACAAGTGCATTCTTGTTTGTCTTCGTAAAACAAAAAAGCTTTTACTTCCTCTCTCCCATCAGCACCACCGGAAGAAACTATCGTACAATGGCTTTCAAGTATAACCACTGTCCTTGTGCCACAAGTTTCCTATATGGCTCCAGTGTAATTAAAAGGGGGGGACAATCTTGGGGTAGATGATGGCAGCATCATATAGTGCCGATTTCATTTAAACCTTCCAATGCTTCCTCACTGAGTGTTGTCTGAAATGAAGCACTTGCAATATACCAGTAGGTGGGAGCCATTTCCTGTTAACCACTGACCCATCCTAATGTGGAAAAGTTCTCTACTACTCTTCTGATGGTTGTCTGCCTTTCTCTGCCTCCTTAAAAAAAGAAAAAGAAAAAAAGATCATCAGTACATGGTGTATACCTTGTGGGCATTACTGAATTTTGCTGTCTCATGCCCTTTGCTCCTGTATTGTAACTAACTGCAGATACTCATGAAACTATCCAACAAAGTAGATCTCTTGTGGAGTAGGGAAGAAGGCCATTCTTGTGCAGAAGCTAAACCCTGTTCCCATGATGTGGTAGAATGTGCTATTCTTGTATCTACTTCTCAATAAAGCATGTTCTCTGCTCAAGTTTATGCCTTCTTTTTATTTGTTTCAGTCAGATGCTATTCAGCATCTCCAGTTAAGTGAAGCTGCTGCTTTATGTTGTAGGGGACTAATTCTGAACCCATCTTTGTGCCTGGTGTATTAAGGATTGTTACTAGAGCGGCCTTTAGGTTGAACCTTTTGGAAATAGCCTGTATTGTGTATTCACTCTAGAGCTTACTGTGCACAGGAGGCTACCATGAGGAATATGTGGATGTTGCCAGATACTGGCAACTTAAGTATGTCATGCAAAACTGGGATAGCAACTGTCAACCTGAAGTTCACTGAAGAAGGAGGGAGTTATCCTAAAAGTGATGGCCCTAGATTTTTAGCCTTGCCTTCTGTGCTTCCATGACCAGGCCTTCTTGCTTCTTGTACTGTGGGAGGACTTGGGGCAGTAAAGTCTCTGATCTTCAAGTTCAGCACATCTCTCAAAACATTTTGAGTCTTTGGTATAATCTCTGATATAAAATGGTTAATGACACATACCTGCTTCAGCTCCTTCCAGAGATTCTGCTTTTCTGCATAACTCAATGGGAGTTGAATAGGGAATGGTTTTGGACTCTGGGCACTAAGCTGCAGAGAAACCAGGGTGCTGTTAAGAGTAAGGCTGACATGTTGGTGATCATGGCCTGGGACTCGGGATGCTCAGCTTACAAAGCAAGAGCAAACTAATTGAGATGGAATACCTTGCTAGTCTTGTTCTGATTAAGATGAAAATCAAGGACACTTCCCTGAACAATGATGCTTGTTTACCCAAGTCACATCAAGGCTTTTCCTAATTCTGTCTTGTTTTCCTTAATGAGACAGTTTTTTAAGCATTTGATTTAGGAGCATTGCTTTTACTTATTTGAGCACAGTTTTGTACAATACCAGTTGCCTTTTTTTTTGCTTTGTTTTTTGTTTGGTTTTTTTGTTTGTTTTTCTTGCAAGTACAGAAAGATGCAGTGTGATTTAGTTTGCAGATAACTGGAAAGAGAGACAAGAAAATAAAGGTTTTATTTCCCACACTGCTCTGCTGTGTGACAGCCAGCCCCTCTCTAAGCTTTTGTTTCCCTCCAGTCCTTATTCTGTCAAGTCTGTTTATGTTGTGACTTTTCTGAGGCAGTGACTGTCTCTGTATATGTACAGTTCTTAACCTGATGGGGTCCTACGTTTGACTGAGACCTCTGGGTGCTTTGGTAATGCAAACACTAATTAAGTAGTGAGTCATACAGATAGCCATAAACATCTCTGGGTAACCAAAGGATGAGACACGCTTACAGTTTCACCCACAGTTTATTCATAGCAACTGCAAACTTGCAGATGTTACATTCTGTATGGGCAGTTTGAAGCCCACCTAAAAATTACGACACTACCAAAAAGCAGCCGGTGCTTTCAGTAAATTTTCCTAGATTGATGCCTTCTTGCCCCCTTCTTTTCTCATTAAAAAAAAAAAAACCACTTAAATTTAGTCTCGACCTAACATAGATTATGTAATTTTAAGCACACTGGTAACCCTACAAGAGTTCTTTGCTGTGATAGACCCAAAGAAACCCTAGCACAAACACAAATTCAATGCAAGACTGAATGAAAAGTTGAGAGCCAGACCACCTCGCCTCTTAAGTCCCAGAAACAAGAACTGACTATGGAACTGAAAGTCATATAAATCAAATAAGATTTTGAATGCCAGTAAAGGTGAGCAGGTACGACCTCATAAGGAGTTGCCTCTTTTTGAAAGCCCCAGGTTATGTGCCCAAAATCAGAGGTACCCTACCAAAGAATGAGAACAAAGCCAGGTCTTCCAATGCTCAGTCCCAATGCTTTGGCATCACTGGCATCCTTTTTTCCATGGGCCGACAATGAAGTTTGTTTGGTTTAGGTGTCATCTAATGCACTTCTCGTATGTATTTTCCAAAAAGATTATAATTCAGCAGAGCCAAGGTTAAAAAACCTTTATGTCTCTCTGCTGTCAGTAAATGAGAAATAGCCCTTTGAAAGCTTTATGGGCACAGTAGTAGCCAGTGTGTGTGCTTCTATAACAGTATTGTTTCCTGTTGAGTTTGTTTCCCAGAGAACTTTCCATGACTTCTGCCCCTTTGCTTAAATTCCAGCTATCCTGTAGCTGTTTTACTGACAGTCCTTCTAGTCTGCAACTTTTTCCCTGTTTGTTTTGCTGTTTCTGGCTTTCCAGATGTCATAGTTAAAACAACTTAACTTTCTATTTTAGTCTCCATATTAAAGTACAGGTGTGATAGCACAAACTGCAGACAAGTATAACAGGGCCATATGCTTTCCAGAGGATTTCACCCACACTTCTCTGCTTTGGATCATGCACTGCTATTCTAGGGTTAAAGATTCACTACACATGGTTACTGTGTTTCAGGCTGAAGGCACACAAACAGCATGGGCATATCTTTTGCTCTTGAGCTGGTCTCACAATTGTTTCAGCTTTAGGAAGTTGAACTGAAGAGAAGTTAATTGATCTAGTTAGTGCACAACTGGCGTATTTAAGAATCCCCCAAAACCACTCCCAAGTTTCTCCATGTAGTTTTGATTTCAGAGGAAGAGGGATTCTTAGCTCTTGTGCCAACTAGTGTAGGAACTGCTTGTCTGGATCAAATCTACGATCAGCTGAATCCAATAAAGTGTCTGACAGGAGTCAGAGGTTCATGTTCAACGTTAATGACTGCCTCAACAATGTATGTCATCATTAATTATGGTATCTACATACCTCTTTAAAGAAATATCTCTGTAAATTATGTATCCTTCTCAAGTGTTCAATTATGGTTTACCAGTGCATTCTGAAGCCATCCAGGGCCCTACTTTTCCCTCTGCTCATCCCAGTGTATATCAGAGCAGCCTCAGGGCTGCTTTAATAGTATGCTATCTCAAAACTTCCATCCGTCTTGGGAAACAAAGAATAGTTAAAACACACAATATCTCAGCCTCTCCCCAACCTCGTCCTTGAATCCACACTCTGGAAGCACAATGGATATGAAGACCTCACATGTGCTGACCCTGACAAAGACCAAGGCCTGCAAAGGGCTTTCTCAGGAGCAGTCAAATGCACTTTAACTGCTACTCCAGCCTAGCATGAGTGAGGCCAGGACTTTCTCAGAATCTGCCACTGGAAAATGGTCTTTTGACCTTGGACATAGCTAAATTATTTTTTCCTCTGAATTTCTTCAAAAGAAGGAAAGTAAAGCTGCCAGCATGGAAGCATTCCAAGTTGAACTTCTGCCCAGGGCAAGGCAAGTTTTTATAGTTAAAACCCCCAAAATGAGAATTTAGAATGGGTATGACAACAGACCGTGAACTACTGCCTTATATGGGGAATGGTCTCATTTACTCATCACACTCTTTGTGCTTTGGAGATCCGGTTTTTGTTAATGAGCAGGCGAGCTCTCTGAGTCCTTTGGGGGCCTGCTGTTCCATGAACTTTCATTTTGCAGTGTGGAAAACTGAGACAAAGGGAACAGGCATAGGCATCCCATGGCTGCTATTCTCACTACCAGCTGCTTAGTCTTAATCCAGCACTTCATTGTGCTGCCCTCAGTTGTACCAGTACAGTGTTCATAGGGACTGCACTGAACCAGATCTCTGACGTGATCCAAACCTCTACGTCTTTCACTCATTCTGTCCCTGGACCATTTCATTTGGCAAATTGCAAGGCCCCTCGTTGTGACAGATTTTTTTCCAGACTTCTGCAATATTGGTACAATAAGAGTTTTCACCGCAATGAGGCAAGCTGGTGCTTCTTTTTGTTCACTGAGAAGATCTTCTGCGTGCATCTCCAGGAATTGGTCCGTTGCTGCTGTTCCTTTTCCCCGGCTGAGCACTGGCAGTTCTGCTGGCTTTTCCTTTTTGATGTAATTGTTTGGGGCAGGATGTGGTCATGTTGTGGCCACACTGAGGATCTGCAGGGAAGGAATAGGTGGTTGATATTCCTATAAAGAACGCTAGAGGGAAAAGAGACAGCAGGGAAGCAGGAAGGAAAGGAAGCTAAATATGTAAAATTACTTCAGTTGTTTCTATTGTGATGGCTGTGTAACTCTTGAGCTTAGTTTAAACCCATGTAAGACAGTCCATCTGCCAGTAACTCCGCCCTCCTGTTGTTCCAAAACTATGGAAAGAACTAGAACACCTACCTCTCACACCAGCTCACAGACAAGGGGAAAAGCAACTCTATTTTTGAGAGCATCCCCTGTAATTAGGTCTGCTTCCCCCCTCCTCCCCGGGCTCCTGCCCACACACCACAAGAAAACACCCAGACCCGAGTCTGGGATAACAGCAGAGGTGTAGCAAAAAGGGAGAAAACAAAAGGAAAAGAAAACATCCCCAGGAAGTGAATGGATCTCAAAGGCTCCTGCGAGCTACAGTAAAAGATTTCAAATTCAAAGACAGCTGTTAAACTGGACTTGACACCCGTCTTCAGCGTCACAGTTAACTCATGTGCTGAACAGTGGTAAAACACTTCTTAATTTGTGCCTACTCTGTACACATATCCAGAAGATCCACAAATTACAATAGTCCTACATCATGTATTAGTAGTAGGAAGTAAAAAAAAGATAGGCTTCTGGAGCTAGATTACATATTCTGTTATTGGTAGAAATAAATCAGTAAAAGAATGAACATGCGGAGCTATATAAGGCACTAGACAACTGTCAATCTTTAGAAGTAAATATGCTTTAGCACTACTCATTCAGTGGGGGTAGTTGAAAGGGAGCTGTCTGAACAGAGGGAAATGTCGATGACTTTCATTTTCTTTGTATTCAATTCTCCTGATGCTTGGGGAGGTGATCGTAGATCAGGCTCTTTCACAGCTAGTGTTTTTAGGTGGAGATTAATGAGGAGTCTGAGTTAGGGCTTATAACTAAGACCAATCTTTAACATAATAACAGGTATGCTAACAAGTGTAGGAAGAGATCGTGTAGGAGGTCAAGGGATCTGCATGCTTGTCAGCCACTATCACCCACTCTTACCCATCAGTCGGTCTGAACAAG